TATCTACTATCAGAAAGCATTATTTGGTACAAGGTGTATTTGTGGATGTCCGTGAACAGTATACACATTATCCGGATCATGTTGTGCTATGTACACGTCTTTACAATTCTTCCTGAAGGTTAAAACAGTTCATTAGAATTCAAAATGCGTAATCATCTGTAAGCTGGCACTTGTTAGGCTCTTGTCAGCATTGATAACTGGCATGTTTTCTTGCAGCCCAGTTCCAGCCAGGGTTTTGCCAACTTGTTACAACAGACGTCCAGCAATACAGGTGGGTACAGTGCAGGAAAAACAGTGCCCTGTTTCTCAATTGAAGACCCTGAAGTAAGTGAAATTACCAGCTGCTGAATAAATGTCACTCAAAAGCAGTCTCTCGGCTTTTTCTTGCACGGCGTGCAGCTTTCCTTTTAAATTCTCCATTTCTGTCTTCCTTCCATTCTTTCGCAGGTGACTCTCCATTATGGTCTGCCAGTATGGAAATGACAGTAATCGTGATGGTTCCCACCGTGTGGGTAGGAAGCCAGCGTTCCTCTGACTTTTCATAACCATACTTATCCTCCCCAGCTCATGAAGAACAGAAATGCAATCGTCACCATTTTTATCAACATTTGGATGCCAGATTTCTGTGATGATTTCACTTTAGGAGGCCGGAGGGGATAATCTTTTGGGAAAGTGAGATGAGCCTTAAGAACACCACCTTCATAAAGTGTGTCTGGGGGACCGACAACAAGGACTTCCCATGGGTAGAGCTCATGGTCGTCTATGAAACCTGCTGGAAAGTCTTCCAGGGGTTTTGGTTGAGTTCGCCACGTGGGGCCCGGATGCTCCTGCTGCCCCAGGGTCTGGCGGCCTCCACCACACCTGAGCCCCTGGACCATGCTGCCTGGTTTCTTTCAGCTAAGGCAAACAGAAAGGATGTGTTTTTGTGACAATTTGTAATTCTCTTGAGATAGTTAGGCCTTAAGGAGGCACCCACCCCAATAGAGGGCCACCCCACTCCAGTCGGACAAGGCCAGTGGTCTTCTCCTCAAGAAATTGTAGGTCACTTTTCCAAACAAAGGATGTTAACTTGTGAGATTTTAATCTCTTTGCCCTGGGACAGGAGAGCTTACAGGTCTAAGTCATGGCCTCTTCCTCAAAGAGCTGCTGTCCATGGAGAAAATAAGGTGCATTCACCTCAAACAGTGGCAAACTAATGCAAGACAGTGCATCACCCAGGGCAAAGCTCTGTGCTGACAACAGGTAAGAAGGGGTTTAAAGAATAAATGTGTATAGGAAGGGAGATTTTTTTTTTCATAGCTAGAATGCACTAATAAAAACATTGTCCAAAAACAAAATAGCTAAAAACGGGAAGATTGTAGTGAAACCCTGTAAGATGGATGCAGCTTGGTCAGGCAGAGGTGGAGAGGAAGGAATTTCAAAGCAGGCCCCGTACCTCCTCACAGGGCAGGGTCTAGCTGAGTAAATGAGTGTGTTCCTTATGATGGCGTCTGTACCAGACATTCCTCAGAGCTGGAGATACGGCGATTGACAAAACAGATAAAATTCCTGAGTGCACCAGGCTCACATTTCACTGGATTGATAATCAGAAAGCAATTAAGAGGTATGTCTGCCCAGGTAGCCAGCCCAAGACTGGGTCCTGTGACCTGTGTTTCTTCCACGTGGCAGCCTGCAGCGTGGCAAACCCTGCCTGCACGGGAGCCGTCTTGTGCCTCTTATCACATTTCAGTGACTTGCCTTCTTCACTTAGAATTTCTACTTACCCTCCTTAAGTCCTTACCACAGATCCCAGGAGAAGGGAATTCAGACTCACAGCGCTGAGTAGGAGAGAAGAATCTGAGTAGGGACTGTATGTTTGCTTTCCATTGCTGTGACAAAATACCTGAGAAAGTCAGCTTATAAGAAAGAAAGATTCATTTGGGCACATGATTTCAGAGATTTCAGTCCATGGCCTTTGGCAACAGGGTGAGGCAGAGCAGCATGGGGGGAGCGTGTGATGGGAAAGGACATTCACGTGGTGATAGCCAGGAAGCAAAAGAGAGAGAAGGGAAGAGGCCAATATTCCCCTCAC